ACCTATGTGATTGATTACATGTTGGAATTGGTAAGCCAAGGGGCATCCAGAAGTTTTCACGCTCGAGATGATCTCTAAGTAGACATCTTTTATTGCTTGTTAAGATGGTGGTAGCTAATCTGGCCTTAAATAGGGGGTTAGTAGTGTAGGGACTGAAAACATTTTTTCTTCCCTTTTATGCACTTAGGAGGAGCTTATTTGCCATCATGATCTTGTAACTTGCATGAGGGCCTTCTGACGTATCGTGCACATCCACTCGCCAACCCATGGCCTTCGCAATATGTTGAAGCTCATCTATGACTGCAACAGAGTCTCGGATGTATACTCGTCCACCCGGTCTCAGTATTCTATCCATCTCAAGCATTATGGTTGACATATTGCACCTGAAACACACGCAACAACAACTGAACAGTTGGTAGCCATCACAATGATTTCAAATTCGTTTCATTTTCTTCATTGGGATACATTATTTCGAATAAGGAGGTAGTGTAAACCAGGAATCAAGTAATCTAAAGAAGTTCAAACAGAGAAATCTAATAAATTCGGGGTACCTTTTCCGTTCGACTGAGAACAAACCAGCTGCGTGCAATAAATCATATGTTCTTGGATATGTATCAAATGGTTCACACCTGACATGTTACAATATTACTTGCTCTGTTATCGATTATCATCACTTCTTTTATATCTATGTAGCTTAAAGCATGCATTCAAAAGCTTAATGCCTAACCAATAGAGGAAAAGTTTCGTATGTTACCAATCGTGCATAACTCCAGGAAGTCCACGATCATAAATAACAGGCAAGGTATTGAACCCACTAACCGGAACAACATTCAACACCCAGCAGTCTAGTTTTAAATCGATCAATGCCGCAGCAAATCTGTTAAAATTCAAGATCTTAACCATCCATATCAGGGAAAGAATGAAGAAATGGAAGATCAGTGGAAGAGTGGTCAACATACATACCCTCCAAATCCTGCTTTCATATCCATAACGTTTCTTAGTCTAAATGTCTTCCAATGAAATGCACGAACGTAGCTTTCTATTATCTCATTCCAGTATTTAGATTCTGCCTTGAAGAGCTCATTTCTGGAAATGTAGGCATCATATTGTATTGTCTGAAGCCTATCAGGTGGTGTGTGTAACCGCGCAGGCCAAACAGTGATATTTGCCCCGTAACCGTCTTCTGGAAGACGAGAGATGCATGTCTTAAGATCTTCATTCCTGTCTCCAAAGAAGTAATCAAAGATTACACAAAATTATGTAGCAATGAGACTTAATCTACAGGAAAATGAAAACATTCATACCATACTCTGTCTGGGTCGTCATTTTGGTCACAAAGTGGTGGTTTAGTTCCTGCCTCGCGATTAAGATAGCAAGTATTATTTAATGGCTTCCGCCAAATTGCTATATATCCATCTTTCTTCACAAACTCCCAACAAAGTCGGGTGGTAAGATTGAGCATCTCTGACAACCAAAAAGAAAAAAAGAACATAAATATAAACCACACTTATAAGGTCAGAGATAACATCAGATCCGTTAAGATTCCACAGCAATCTTAAATGTCTGTACATATCATCTTAAAACCTGCAACAAACAATTTCTACCACTTACTAGAAGATAACAAAAAAGAACTTGCAAGAGAAGAGAAGAAGGTTTGTGTTAATAAGAAAGCAAATAGTAGGCGCAAGAAAGTAGACTGCAAATTTTCAAAGCTCTAACTTAGAAATGCGCATTCAAACAAAACTTCTAAGGCTAAAACACATCATCAACAGGATATCTCAAGAAAACCTTTGGTTACCTCCCCACTGTTCCTCCAAAACTTCTTCATGCTTATAAACTGGTTGAGCTGCCCATGCAAAGTATCCTCCAGCTCTGAGCATTCGGTTAACCTCAAGCAGCAAAATGCCATCTTCATATGACAAGTTGAAGATGAAAAATCAACATCCATAAGATAAATCTAAAATAAATATACTTCATGGATCAAAGCTTAACTGGGCAAATAGTTTAACTAGAGAATGCCTGCCACATTGGAAACATGAATTTCAGGAAAACCCATTTGACATTCACTGAGATTTTAATGAGCATTCAAAAAAGGGCAATTATGATTATTTTTGACAGCAATGATTTACGGTCCCGAGGGGAAAGCACAAGAAGTTCACACTTCACAAGTATTTGGGAGTTTACTCCATACTCCATAGTGCTAAGTTCCCAAAAAAAGAATATTAATTAATAAAATGGTGTTCATTTTCTCATCTAGACTGATATGAATTAAAGCTAATGAATGTCTAGAGTAGTTATGGCAAAGAAAAATGTCTTCCTTAAATTGACTACCAAAGAAAATTCCGCTCTTTACCCTGCTCATGCTTATGTGACACAAATAATGGATGAGAGAAAAAAACGTACCATCACGAGTCCAGTTGATTCTGCATCGTGAACAATGTATCAAGTCAAAAGCTTGACTGGGATATAATAAGCGATGAGTTGCAAATGCAGCAACCATTGCAGGCACACCACGTTCAAGAGCAAATTGAATCTGATTCTCATGAACATCTTTTGGAGCAATGGACATTGTAACGACATCCCGTGACAACAAATAGGCGCCAAAACTTGCAACTCCACATCCAATATCCATGACAACGCGAGTATGATGACCAAACGCGATATCAGGGATCATCTAGTCAATATATAAAGAAAAAGGATCAGATGCCATGTTACCCAATGCTTAATTCCTATACTGAACTTTCAGAATTACAGTCTTGTTTACCTTTGAAATGTGATCCAAATATTCATCTGCTCCATGTATAAACTGTGTACCACCTCCAGGAAACCTAAACTTATCGTTGTCTCTGGTAATCCAGTTTTGGCCCCCTTTATCCTCAACTAGACGAGTATGTGGAACATTGCTGAACCAGACCTAAAACCAATGATATGCCCAATTTAAGAAATCTTCAAACATATTCAACTAAACGATAGGTTGTAGTGATTTCAAATCATTCAATTTCAGCAATTACTTATTATTGTATAAACGTGCAATACCTCGTCTCTGCTTTTTGGCCAAGGGATTGGGGCTCGATACCCCTTCGGCGGCGGAATCAAGCAATCGAAACCTCCACCGGCAACTGGGCAATGCCTCTCGAACTTTTCCCCTTTCTCCGTTGACTTGAGCTTTGCAATTGCCTCTTGATTATCCAAACAAGGTATATACTCACTCATGTTCTGAGGGCAGAGGCCAAACTTCTTAATCCGGAAGTTCCTAGAACTGCCCTCGCCATGGTCAACCTCAGTGGAATTCCCCCAATTCTCCACATATTCAGGATCCAAATCCCCGACCTCAAACTGATCCGACATTGTTCCATTCTCGTCCAGAATTCCAAATCTCTGAACCGAATCGGACGGCGGAGGAGGAGGGTCGGTACGAAGCAACGGCGGTGGAGTTGGGTCGAGATTCAATGTCTTATCAGGAAGCAGGTGCGTATCATTCTGATGAATCAGATTAGAGATATTGAAGTGCTTATTATAGTTCGGCGAAAGTGACACCGAAGAAGCTTGAAGGGTGCCGGTGTAGAAGACAAGCTGCTGGTACCCATCGGACCAATGCTTCCCAAAGTAAAAGAAGGTAACAGAAGCAAGAAGGAAGATAGCGATCTTGAATAATGGAGAAGCTCGAAAGGATTCAGCATTCACCAAGGAATCCGACCTCATTGTTGGAGTTCCAGATCTCAGATCTTCTCTCCACTTCGCTCAAGCGCCGGCACTTTCTCTATACTGGAAGGAATCGGAATCGGAGAATTTGCGGAGATGTTGCAGAGCAGAATTTAGCGATAAATTATTGTAACTTTTCTTTACAACGTAGGGGTATGATATGGGAGAAGACAATGATGTGATAAAATACTTGCATTTACAATTTTGCAATTCTTACAACTGTCCCAAGGAATGATCAGGTCACTGGAGTTCGCGTTGGTTCTTACCCCGAGGTGCACCGAATCTCCAAATAACCTCCCTCAAAAGACGCCACGTATTAAGACGTAGTTTATAAATGGAAGCCCGTTCAGTCCAGTTTCCATAACCAACACGAACCTGGTAACATACCGGTGAGTTTTATAAACGGCGTTGCCAAATGGATGAATATACGCGCGGTTTTCCGCAAAAAAACAAAAAAACAAAAAATATACAAAATACAAAATAAAAAACTGAATTGGGCCTGCCCAAAGCTAATTATGGCCCAGGCCCATATTGTACCAGCCCGTTCTGAATTTGGGCTTTCTATTGGGCTTTTCATATTATAAAAAAATATAATCACATTATTGTTTTTTTTAATTTAAAAAAAAAAAAAAACTAAAAGTAATTTTAGTAATGTTATAATCTAAGCTGATTAAAGGCGGTTTTAAGCGTGTTTGGAGGCTTAACCTACGGCCGAATCTACGTTAATTTACTTTTGACTTTGTCAAACCAATTAATCCAATATTTATTTTGCTTCATAATTTATCAAAGCATCATGTAAAAGTCAAACTGTCAAACTTTTTTTTTATTATTATTTTTTATTAAAAAAAATGAATATAAGCAAAGTTTGGTATGCAATCTGGAACTGGTTTTTCATAACGTGGCTTTGCTTGGGCAATGAGTAATTTAATGCCTTTTTCCATTATATAAGCAAATTAAATTAGAAAATAAATGAAAATAAAAAGCATATTCCCTTTCGTAATCATACAATAACCATTTTAAATCCGCTACCGACACTTCGTTTTTATCCCTTTTTCATTCTCCAGATGTGAAGCATCATGACTGTGATGCTACCAGCGTCACAGCCAATCACATGTGCCCACGTGTTCCACTTTTTCGTTCTCAAACAGGGGCTTGGCGGACGTGAACCACTTCCTTTGACCGCGAGAAAACAGAAACGTAATACGACCAATCAGAATTCTAATTAATTTATTAATTAATTGAAATCCGGGAGGGCGATGTTCGTTCGATGCGCATATTTATGGACACCGACAAGGCCTTTTTTTCCTCGGCAGAAGTCCTTTGTTTTAGATCAGAACCCGACGGAACCAACGGTTCAGGTCCTTCCGCGGGAAAACTCTGAACGAGCGCTCGCGGTTCGTTGCCTACTCGTAGCTCAGCTTCATTTCGGTTTCGGCTTGGGTTCTGATCCGCTGAGATCTTAGGTAATTTTGCCTTTCAATTCTCCTCCTCATTTTCGCTTCTTCGTTTCTGGCTAGATCCGTGGTTTCGTTGCGTGTTCTTTGACTTTTGAAACCGGGAAAGGATTTTGGAGTTTATGAAACGTTGAATTTCACAATGTGGCTGCGAGTTCATTGGAATTTGGAACCATGACTCTGTTTTTTGTGTTTGACTGTTCTGGTTTGATTTATTTGTGCCAGGAACTTTTTAACTGGATCTTCTTCGTTGATGTTTTTTTTTTTTTTTTTTTTTTT